AAGCTCCTCTTTGATCACTGTCTCGTCCATGACATCGTACAAATCATCCTCGAGTTTAGTGGGCAAGATAAACTGAACACTTACCAAGCAACCGCGAACGAAAAGCAACCGAAATCCTTCCATCGTATCGAAGTCCACAAAACTAAAGTTTATCCCCTTCCTGCCATCAACATTGACGAATCCACAATCAAGGGTGTAGGCGAGGTAGACGAGGCCGTGGTGAAAGAATTGAAGCTCGATTCCATTGAAGGGTTCTGGGAGCGGGCCCGTTTGGTAGCAGGTGACCAACTCTCCCTCGCCCGACTACGTGCTCTTCAAAACATCCGAGCTGGACAAGAGGACGGATATGAAGGCTTCTCCTGGCTAATCACAGTACCAGGGGTATTCCATATCAGGATGGCGGATATGCATGGTGTCGTTCTCGTCTACTTTGGAAAGATGAACAACCCCAGCTGTCTCTGTCGTGATAACGCCACAATCAACCGACTTCCTATCACCCTCTCTTCCCTTCCCAGTTTCCGCACCTGCCAGGATCTCGTCTCCGTATCGCTGTATGCGCGCGTCCTTCATTGCCTCCTCATTGTGTCGAAAAAGCCCTCGTTGGCAGCCTACGCCGATTCTGTCAAGTCTTTCCGTCAAATCCAAGATGACGCGGCCAAGATCTACGAGCAATTCGCCAACACCAACGTTGTCGCCGAATTGAGGTCAGAGCGAGAACTCAAAGGAAAGGGTCACGGGGATGTGGTTTTCGAGAATGCGTGTTTGTTCTTGCGCGACGCTTTATATTCATTTGAGTTGCGAAGGGCAGTAAAGGCAGGAGACTCCGGTCGCGTTGTACAGGTTCTCAAGATATGGGCACTCAGCTTTCGAGGCAACGGTCGGACCAAATACGCTTACGAGATGCTACATCTCATCCACAACCTCACTCATGTATGGCCCAAGGAGGTAGTGTGAGTAGTTTTCCGTCTAATGTTGTATTCAGTCTTCAAGCTGACAACGTGAATTTGTAGAAAGATTGTCTTGAATAATTGGTTGGTGAATACGACAGGCAAGGAGAACCGGTTTCTGGAGGTAGACCTACTCCAGGAACATCTGAACTACTGGATAAAAGTGCGTGATTGGCTATATTTCTCCTACTCAATGCTTACAATTTACCAGGTCTTTTACAAAGCGCACGGCAGTAATATGTCATGGGAGTGGATAGCCATGATTGCGCCGTGCGTGAACATACTACGACACTTGGCGACAGCGATGAACGAGTCACTTGGCCATCGACAGGGATCTCGCCATAGGTCTGCCAACATTCAGAATGACATCAACGCATTGATGAAGAGCTATAAAGAACACAACGTGTATGAGGTTCGAGAAGGCCGCACAGTTGATGACGATGACACCCAAATTTTCACGGACTGTGTAACCGCGGGGCTAGAAGCATTAACAGCAGGCAACGATAACCCGCTCACTGAGTACAACTCGGCCTTCCGACGTCTGCAGAAGCGACGTCAAATGGCACCGCTCTCAACCAAACCAGCCGCCACAAACACCACCCCTGCCCCTACAGAAGCCCAGCCAGTGCCAGATCCCGCCTCTACCTCTGCCTCTCCTCCTTCTCAGCCGTCTTCTCAGCCTCCCCATACTCCTCAAGACACCGTTGCAAGTCCAACCATCCCCCCTTTTGCCGGTACAGAAGACAATCGCATTGCTGTCGAACGGGCCTTTAGCGACTTGGACCATGACGGCACTGAGCCAGAACACGATGACGATGGGTTAGGGTTGAACGACGAAGATCAGGAAACGGCCGTTGAAGTGGCAGTGGAGGAATTTGAAGGGGATCCTACTTTTCATATCACGACAGAGAGCGACGTCGAGCTTTTTTCGGGTGAGGAGGATAGTTCAGGAGATGACTTTGGAGAGACGGACTACGAGGATGATGATGATATTGTGGTTTAAATTTTGAGGAGGTTCGGCGTATGTGTATAGAATAAAACAGGTTTTTCATTTGAGACGCGGTCGTAGAATTTGGCTAAGTAAAATGTCACATTTCTGTGACACGGTTCTGAGGCCCATGTTGGTACCAGCCGTTCTCCAGTCTTTGTCTCTTCCATGTGGTCATTCCCCTTTTGGAGAACGGCTGGAACCGAGCCTAGTCCCCCCAAATAAGGAAGCTCCGTAGGCTGGGGAAGGCGTTGCACTACCATGTGTTTTTGACCTATCTCCCACATGCCTTCACTGCAATCCCCCGCCTACGGAGCCCCTTTCCTTATTTGGGGGGGGACATCAATTTTTGCCGCTACTGTACCGCCGGCCGAACGAAGGAAAATCCCACGGTATGAAATTTTCCCGTTGAGGGCACGAGGCGACACTCTTGAATCTTAACCACCTCCACACTACAACTCCCGACGACTACAACGTTTTTACTTCCTTCCTAGGTCTGGGCAATACCTAGCTACCACTACTGAGGCTAACATCTCCATAATCTTGCGACACATACCACCGTTTACGAGCTGCGAGGAGAGATGCCGCATAAACGAGCAAAGAGGTCGGTTAGGGAGAAGGAGAGGGCTGAGAGGTGTGTCTTTCGTCTCTTTGTTGACCGGTTCTGGTTTCACTTGGAATCTATCACCTTGTCTACTACTATATAGCTATATCTTGTCCTGCTCTTCACCCTATAGATCAAACCGCTAACTTTTTTTTTCTGTCTTTCTCGTAGAGGGCACGACCTCGCACCTTCGAGATCACAGTTATCGGGGACACATCTGAAGGAGGAAGCAGTACCAAAGTCAGCCGCTCGAGTTTTGAACGCGTTGAAGATTCGGGAGGATTATAGGAAGCGGAAAAGGGAGGGTGGGGACGGGGATGAGGATACTGGTGGTAACGGTGAGGGGAGGCAAGGGAAGAAGCGAAAAAAGACGAAGGCAAAGGGTGCTAGGGACGCAGAAGTGGAGAAGGGGGCTGTGGGAGGGATATTACCGGGAGAATCGTTGGAGCATTATAACAAGTGCGTCGTCGTCCTTTTGGTTCTGAGTCTCCGATACTGATGGCCTGATTTTATAGACGAGTCGAGCAGAATATGCGTCCGCTAGTTCGAGATGCGGTGAAGACGTCACTGGCTGTTGCTAGGAGTGCGAAGAAGCAGGCTGAGGTGGAGAAGGCAGCGAAGAAAGGCAAATCGGCGAAGAAAACTGAAGATACTGATGATTTGGAATCCACGTCCTTACCCGACAAACACGCATCGAAAGCGAAAGAATTCCAAACGGTCTCCACGTCTGCACCAAAACGACTGAACGATATTGCCCAAGCACCCCCGGAGATGCCGAGGTTACGAGGGGCAGAGAAAGTGTTGGGTCGTACCGGTGGTGGGGTTGGGAAGAGTGGAGGCGTAGTGTCGATGGCCCAGAAGGTCATGATGGAAGAAGAGAGGGAGAAGGCGATAAAGCGGTACCGAGAGATGAAGGCAAGGGCTCGAGAAGAAAAGGATACGGCAGCGAAGGATCCATAGAGGGCCGTGTGGGTCCCATTCGTAGGTCCACTCCGGCACCGGCTTTCTTTCCGGCTACAAACCGGGTTCCGGCATTCACACCATTCCCAGCGCCTAAAATTCAATCTGTATCGAGATCTCGTCCAAACTTACATTCAGATCTTTCCCCGATGAGACTTTCCCAGATTTCCCCTGCGCCCTAATCTCTCCAGAGCGTCATCCTTGACGTCATGTCGATCCCTCCTCCGAACAGCCAAACATGCTATAAACAGAGTCTTGGAGGGTATATAAACCCCACCATTCACACTCAACGCCTTCAGAGAACTCTACTCTTACGTTCATCAACACACTTTTTCTCATCATCATGTCTTCCAACGAGCCCAAGTAGGTTCTTTCCGTCGTCGTCGTTGCCATCGATGAACGCGATGTTGACGATCTTCGTGTCCTTTACAGCAAGACCACCGGTCAATTCCACTCTACCAAGGGAACGATTGTCGAAGCTGTACGTGTCTTCTCGTCGTCGTCGCCGTTGGCGTCGCGCTCATCGTCTCCTCCCGTTTCTCCCTTCTTTCTCGTTCCTTCTGACCGTCCGCAACCCATCTACGTTTCGCCAACCCCTCCCATCGCCTCTCATCGTGCACTGTCACCGTCTATCCCTCCTCTCTCACTACGGCCTATATCGTTCTCCAATACAGATCGGCAACGCTACCGGCCTCGAATCGTGGCAGACGTCGGGCAAAGAAGAACACGCCCAGGGCGAGGCCGAGTACAAGGCCGCCCAAGCCAAAGGCTATGCTGAAGGTGCAGCTGACCGTGTAGAGGGCTACAAGGACTCTGTTGTCGGTGCTGTTACCGGCGATAAGAGCCAGCAGGCTTCTGGTGAGTTGCACTGCATCACAGGGGAAAGGCATGCGTGTATTAATGGATTGGTGTATAGGTAACGTTCAGCAAGAGAAGGGCAAGGCACAGACGGAGGCGAACAAGCCGTCATAAGGAGGGAGCTTTCTGTTTTTGGGTTGTTGGGGTGCACAAGGGCGAATCGTGAAACTGTTGAATTCTTTTTGTACTATTGTCTCGCACGCATGTCAGATGGATATGAAAGCACGCAATTTTTATGGATGAATAACGCGCCTGTTCGGTTGGTCGTTGGCGCCAACCGTCGAAGGCTGTCGTGTAAGCCGGAGTGTTCCGGCTGCTGTTCCTATTTTACCCTCGTGCTGGTAGAGTTCGCTCTTGAGTCTTCGTTGACATTCGAACGTTTCACGGCAACCTTGCGAGTTGCATTCTCTGCCTATACCGTTTCGCCGGCCATGCACACCTTCGTTGGTTCCTCGCGATTCCGGCCACAGAAATGCTAGGCAGACACCCGAAAGGTGTAAGATTTCAGATTCGAACCCTCGACATGGGCCCATGCCTTCGATAATACAGTCGTAGCGCTACTTAAAAGCAATACATCACGTCTATTGTTACTTTGAAAACACCGAGAACCAAAACCAAAAAGTTCCAATTCTCAGATTTCCAGCGACGCCAGCAGGATTTGAACCTGCGCCCTCAAAGAGGAACAGATTTCGCAGGTAGCAACTGATTCGAATCTGTCGCCGTAACCACTTGGCTATAGCGCCTTGGCGACCTTGGGGTCTCTGGGGCGTCATACCTGACCTTGACGGATAAAGAGGAATGCGATCACCGACTGCGATGCTCGGTTTTTTCTCCCCCAGCAGGTGAGCTTTCCACTTGTTCACGGTGCTGGTTGTGTAGTAGACTGGACCCGTCTGTCCTCGCCTCTTTGGTTAATTCACGACCGAGGACAGGGCTCGTCACTTCCAGGTTTCTCTTACTTTACTTATCTGGAGGGGCGTTGCTGAAGGGAACAGACTAACTTGATGGAGACATTCGACGATATAGGCCATGTGTCCAACTTATCAGGACTCAGGATTCGTGACTGTGGGTTCGGCACTGGGCAGTTGGGTTTTACCTACTTATGTGAACTTCAAAAGCCTAGCGTGGTGTCAGGAGATGTTACGTCAACGTAGAATCTTTTGACCCCCCACCTTCTCTGTTTTGCCTTTGCCGGAATGAACAGCTCGGGATTCAGTTGAACCGGGGTGTTCGGTGTCCTCATTCTTAACGTATCGGGATTCGGGAACGGTGTCAATCTACTTGAATGAATATTCGGAGGTCACTCGAGTTCCTATGATTATTAAGTGTGTTGGGCTGGATAGACGAACTTGTTTGTAGAGTGTAGAATGGTCCCACGGGTCACCAGTCACAAGACACCAATGGTCCAACTCAACGAACCAGTGAACCAGCCCCAAGATTCGGAGTAGGGAATTGTGAGTTCAGGGTCAGGGAGAGAAAGAGAATTAGATTACTTCCTAGCGTTGATGGAGTTACTATTGGTTAAGTCCGACACCGGAAGGACCCGCATTGACGCAGTGCCGAGCTTACCCGGTTGAGCGCTTGGAGTTTTGTTTCATGTCATAGAGCACTAGAGCCGGTATCCGTAGCGCCGAGCAGAGAATATCGACTATGAAAAGCGATGGAACCGGGGACACGTATTGGAAAGGTGCTCTGGTAAGTCCCAACGTCAATCTCCAGGTTGTACTTTCCCTTTCAATCCCCTGACGGTAGGCAGCAAGCTGGGGCTTTGTATCCGAAATTCTGTACATACAGGTGAGCAGTGAGACCAGATAACAGAGGCTCTGAGTAACTTCAGTGCTGAGATACATGACAGGGATTGTGATTCAGTATAGCGTATTCTCAAGCTCGAAAGTTGTTCAACTTTGATCGTTCGATGTTTAGAGTGCGGCGACTGGGGGTTTCGACGGGTAACGTCAAGAACATGAACGAGAACAAATCCCTATCAGACTCTCGTCTATTTGGTACCGGTAAACAAAAGAAATAATACACCCTTTTTCTAGTGGGTCTCCTCCGATCGCGACTATGGACCTCCTCATTCGGATTTGCAACCTCCAGATACTCCAATCTTCCGACCACACATAAAATTGAGAACAACACAAAAATTCATGGAGCAATGATGCACATCGACGCCAGCAGGATTTGAACCTGCGCCCTCAAAGAGGAACAGATTATAATTATCGGCTTTTGCGAGATTCGAATCTGTCGCCGTAACCACTTGGCTATAGCGCCTCCGAAACTAAACTGTACATGAAGACAATGCTATGCGAGGAAGTTTGGGTTTAGGTTTAGTTGACTTTTTGAAGCTCTAGATTTACGATTTAAGATTTACGATTTAGGGTTCTCAGCGTTGTAACTGAGCTAAAAGATGCTCAATCACCTTGCGACAATGAAGTATTTGCAAAGGCTAAGGCTGGACATTGATCTGGATTCAGGAGGTAGAACCGCGAGTCAGTCGTCGAATTATAGATGTCCGACGATGGGAGGGAGCTCTGAACCTCCAGCTTACATTCGAAGGAACGGGGCAACATTTAAGTCCGAGCTCCGTGGGCTCGACCTAAATCTAGAAATCCTAGATCGGAAGATACACTTGTAGGCAATACCATGCAAGGAAGTTAAGGTCAAGTGGTTCTTAAGACTTCGACTCTACAGCGGCCAGCGTGTAAGCGAGCAAAAAGATGGTCATTTACCTTTGATGTGTGTAATGCGTAATTTTGAGACATTCAGATACCCTCCACGGAGGCTGCACGTCGGAGGTAAGTAGAACTGCGAGTCATTGGGTCGTCATCGTCGTATCCTGAATATCAGACAGTGCGAAAGCTCCGGATTTCCAGCGTTGCATTCAGATGGCTACTGAGCAACGGGGAACAACTCTGTAGGTTCAACTGAAGTTTGTAAACTCTGCATTGGGACGAAACCGGGTACCTTATATGGTACTCATCCATGAGGAACGGGAAAAGGCCGGAAAACGCAAGCTGGGTCTGCGTACAAAATCTTCGATCGACGCCAGCAGGATTCGAACCTGCGCCCTCAAAGAGGAACAGATTGACAGTTCGTGTTACCGAGAATTCTAATCTGTCGCCGTAACCACTTGGCTATAGCGCCGTGAAGAAGGTGGAACATAATCAGGGGCAAGAGAGCAATGTGTTTAGAGAATGCATTATAGTAGCCTGTGCTCAGAGAATGTCCGACCGGCGGCAACCTTTCGTGAGACTGTCAACCGAATGCCGAATTACGTAGGGTGCGGTATGTCTGTTCAGTGTACAGCGCCGTTCGTCGGGTCGCTACTCAAACCGTCGAGTTGTATCAACAGTGAGGGTGTGGGAGGTTTGTATTGAACTACCATCAGAAAACCTGTCGTATTACGAGAACAAGTTTCGCTGGTTTCACCCACCGAATACGCTCTACTACTCTTCATAGGCCAACTATCAAGTTATCCACGTACTCAGTCACCAGGCTTGATGCCGGGGTAACGGGCATCGAGCTGGGCTATTTGTGTCTCTTGCTCCTTGTCTGTTTCTGTTTGTTATCAGTAGCAAACCTCTTTCCCCTATATATCGTCCCGCTTCCCCAAGCCCAATTCCCAGCTCCTAATCATCATTCGCTTTCTTGCCCTACCATTCTAGCCCCAGCCCCTACACAAATTGTGCTCATCTCTCAATCTTCTCAAACTATCATGCCGATGCCGCGGCCTGGGTCGTCTGCCAACGGTGGCGGTACCACAAACTTCAACGATATGCCTTTCAGTCATAACGTTACCGGACACCCGCGATCTTTCTCCCCAACCACTTTTATCAGCTATCAGTGCCAGCATGTACATGGAAACACATATTACGGGTGTAACTTTACCGGCCATCCTGCTGCCACCAACTTCACTCCCCCTCATACCAATCCAACTTGCGAATCGACAGTTTGAGAGGGAGAGGAGGCCTTAGATCTCTAAAGCCTTAATCTGGGCGCGCGTGTCGAGGAAAACATAAGGGTTTATCTATTAGAGTCCACCGTTATATTGACCAACTCCTTCCATGTAAGTCAAATCGACGTCATCAACAAATCTGAGGATTCGTTACTTCTATTTTCCGAAACGTCTTGAGTGGTTTCTTCAGAACTCAGAGGGTGCATAACTCAGCACGGTCACGAAACTCCTTCATCAGCGTCATCAGTCGAGGCCCCTCCTGCAAAGACTCGATGACGAAGACATTGAAGCCCAATCCTTGAGTCAAGATGGTCTCAGCCATAATCGAGCGCTTTTAATCTGATGAAAACTTGGGCTCCCTGTAAGTAGATGTCTCTCCTCCCAGTCGCCAACAGGGAGCTGACTAGAGATCTAAGCTGTACAGTTCCTGAGTTTCGATTGTATATCCCCTCCGCGCTTGATGTTATCCTCTCCCTCTCCGTGTATGTTTAACATGTATACAAAGCAGTATCTTCGTTCCCACTCTTTCTCCTTCTCTTCATCAATGCTTGATCTTAAACTATACATTAGCTATCTACGAGCTGGTCCGAACAACGATTCGCATGTAGCTTGAATATTTCAGCGTTGTGTGTGTGTTATAGTTTAAAAGCTGGATCAGCTAGTCGGATGTTGGTCAACAGCCAAGCCGAAACCTCGTACTTCCGGAGATTTCCATCGGAAGTCGAGGATACGTCATAGGTACGGGATTTGTAGGTCCATCAAGGTCCGAGATCGTTCAACCACAAGGAAAGCGTGTACAACGAATTGTTATCATGAGTATTTGCAATTCATGTGTTAATCAGCCGTGATCAGCGCGATGCGGCGGTAAAAGCTGAGAAGGATGAAGGTGAGCTTATTTCATGTGGAATCAAGGAGAGCGGTCAAAAGAGGGTTCTGACAGGTAAACACCAAGGACAAGATATTGATAAGTATCCTTGGACTCATTCCTACTACCACCGAGATGTACTTCCAGGTGCCTAGGCATTTCGTCCTGACACTACGTCCTCTCGTTCTCTACCCCATCTATTTCCCTTTTCCCTTTCCCTTGTCTACTTTGAAAGCTAGAAAACTCAACTAATGGAACATAGCCCATCTAATAACGGGCACAATTGACCCAATATTCAGCAAAACCCCATCTCGGACCAACACATCTCCGTCTTACCCTATCTGTGGCACTTCTGGTAGCCGAGAACAGGATTTGTCCATCTAAGCGGTATCCTGTATGGACTTACCTCTCGTTTCGTAGACATCACGACGAGATCTCCTAGCTGGGCGGAATTCCTCTCTGATAACCCTGCTCGACGGAAATGGTGAACAAACGTGAAGTTCTGAACTTGAAACCAGGGTCAAGATCTGTATTTGTGTGCAAAAATTCAAGATTGATCACCCAGGACTAACGGAAACATTTATTGAGGATGGGAAGACACAGTGACGACAACAAGGGTAGATATCTGTCTGATGGCGACTCACAAACCTCTTGCTCAGGCCATAGGACAGTGAATACAACCATTCTCCGATCTCAAAATCGATAGGTACTTGGAATTATCTTACTATACAGATTGATACTACGAGCGCGACTATTAACTATGGTGCCTCGTTTGATCTTATGAGTTGTACAGTGTCAGCGAAACTCAATGGGACGGGAGTTATCCACGACCGAGATTCATCCTCCGATTGACTCACAACCTAGTACCGATCCAAACTACAACAACAAATATAGCAGAAATTAGAGTTTACATCAGGTTGAGAACACGTTGAGTAGTGTGGATGTGAGGATTCACAATAGGGAAACTCAACTCATATGAGTTTAGTTCCCCGCCACATGTGCGTCTGAGGTGAGGGAGAGGAGAAAACGGGTCTAGTTCAGTGCCAGCGTCGACCTCCTTGGAAGTTGAAAATCAAGACAGTAAAACTCTTATACTGGAAGGATCTGATATATGCCATTTTCCTTTGTGCTGCCTCCTTCATTGGCGGTCACACCCATGCCTGTCATGAAGTGCCGCTTTTCCCCCTATCTTTTCCTTTCTCAGCGCCTATTCCCCTTTCAGCGCTTACTTGTTCCTTTGACGCCTACCAGACGCCCGTTTCCCCTTCCCACATATTTCCTTCTCACACTATTGTCTTTTACACCTTCTTCACGACCCATTCATTCTATTGTTCTTATTGTCTTCTCTCATCTCCTAGTTACTCATTCCGGACTCGCTATTGTCTTATACTTGACTACTATTGTTTCCTTATTGTTTTCTTATTGTCTTTCCTATTCGTTCACAACTCATATCTCAGACCTCTGACTGGGTATATAAGCTAGGTAGTTTACACCTGGTCCCTCATCTTGACCTCTTGTCGTTGGGACCAGGTGAGTAGTTATTTCTGTCTTTCTCTATCTGCAATGTATCTGACTTGTCGTTGGGACCAGTTATCTACCTGCTCTTGCCCTCTGCTCGCTACCTCTGTCGTCTCTATCGTCGTCTCT